AAGTGCAGTGGTGCCACTCGTACCACATGCTTACACAGCACAGCTCGCTCCTGTGCTGTTCGGTGTAACAGGCAACTGCAGTGTCACGTTGTGCTTCAGTGTCCAGAATGTTCACAGGGGAATTGCCCACTGCACCGAATGCGCAGCGAAGCCTTCTAGGGCTCGATCTTTTACGATCTTGGATATGCATTTAGAGGAAGCAATCGTCCAATTTTACGCAAAAGCTCAGTGATTCTGGTGACAATGAGGTTTTGATAAGGCTGCTATGACTGTTCCCTCTATACATCAATGACAGACATAGAAGGAAGCAGCTCTCTACGTAACTATTTTCATGCTATCGCTAGTGGACACTATCAACTTCTGGAACAGAAAATGACAGAGGTTCTGCGTTTGTCTTTTTCAGATTTATCTCAAGGACAATTTCTATCCCTCAGGTTGGAAAGAGGTGAATGTGGGTAATACTGCAGAGATGTTTTTTAATGATGAAATAGCTGCAAGGTGTTTTGAGGGACTTCCATGCTAATTTAGCAATCTTCCAACCCCAGATTCCAAAATACCTAGATAAGCAGCATGATCTGTATGGGACTTACTTTGCACAAGTAGTTTTCCTGTGAAGGCAATAGAAGCAGAAGGAGAAACATTCCTGGGAGCAGTCAGTGATTTGTCTACAGATAAAAATGAACTGACATTTTAACAGCAATGCTGCCATTCCACTTGAAAGACTTCCTGTACGCCAGCCTGCTTGAGTTAGGTAATGGAATATTCCTGAAGGCAGTCAGTGAGAAAATCTGGATTGTTTTCTTTGAATTGGTCAGCCCCTGAATATCATCAAGTCATAGAACTGTGCAGGACTGCATATCGACAGAAGCAGATGTAGGATCAGAATTTGCTCTCCATAGTTATGAAAAAAATTGGGCATTTTCCTGATCAAGGAAATCCACTTTACCTTCTGCTGAGTTTTTCATCCCATTGTATACAGCCTAAGATGCGACATGCTGTTTCCAAGAAACACGTACTTGAATTCATAAATGTGCATGCAACGCTACAGAAAATTAAAATTAATATTTATTACATGAAGTTAACATAAAACCCAAACACAAAGACACGTTGGAAAATGAACAACAAAATTATGAGCTCTGTTTAAATTATCATTCAGTGCAAAGAGAGGCTTCTATCCAACTTTTGCAGATTATAAAGGAGAGAAAAGCCAAACAGAGCAACAAAATTCAGTAACCAGTTCTCCCAGTTCATACAGTTTCTTCAACAATTATTGTTAGGACTAGACACTGATCAGCTAATCCAGAGAGCCATTGCTGATCAATACACACAAACAAAAAGGCAAGAAGTCCTGAGTTAGGTCCTGATCAAAAGAACAAAGGAGGACAGGAACAAGACACTTCATTTCACCAGCAAAGACAAAAGCACTTAAAAAATGAAAGCATTCCTTGTAGTTCTTCAGTGATAAGAAACACTCTGCAAGGAAGGTATCTAGCACTTCTCGATCATTAGATGTGCCCTATAAAACCTCCTAGCACTCACTACTACCCGCAAAATTTGTAGACATCTTGAAAAGAAATTGTATTATCTTAGTGTTGGAACAGGTAATTTCCTGTATGAGAATCAGAGTTTCTTTTTAGGCTTAAAAAAACACTGCCGTGCCCCCAAGAGAAGCAGAATTCACACTAAATTCACCTGACATAGTTCAAGATCCATTTTGTTCTGAGATTTCTTTTTTTACTGGATGACAGAGTTTTTATAACTTCTGAAGTGACTTTATATCCAGGGATAACTTGGAGGTTCATGAGAAGTTTTAAAAATTAGGATTGGTATCTGAATCAGAAAATAGTTCCAAACCCACATGGATTCTGTTACTGTTACAATACAGCCCCATTGCCCAAAAGAAAGATACCCTTTGCAAAATGATGAGATGAGTCGGTAAGTTCAGGCTTGGGTGCATCAGAGCTTTGCTTCTAGGCCCTTCCCAGCTGAATTGGGTAGATGCTGTTTTAAGTGAAGCAAGCTGCTGACCTCCACTGCCCATTGGTGCCACAGCTGGAGAAGCAGGCTCCCTGCTACACAGGCTCTGCACCAGCTACAACTTCAGGAGCTGAAACCTGTATCTTAAACTGTCCTCTTGGAAATGAGGCAGCAGCAGCTGCTGTAAACGACGCTGTGCAGGGATACACGCTTGATTATCAACACTGTTGCCAAGCTCACATTGTGCAACTTCTGGGCTAGCCGCAGTTTCCATCCAGTTTCTGCGAGTGCAACTTCTGGGCTAGCCGCAGTTTCCATCCAGTTTCTGCATGACATGCATGCAGAAAGAATAGCAAGGTAATACAGTCTGGAAGCAACAACGATGTGAACTGCTGCAATAAAACCACCACTCCAAGTTAAAGGCTACAATTACCTGGCAGAGTCAACAGCAGATGTTCTCTATCACCAATTACCTACACCAGCTGAGAGTCCAGCTAAATCATTATCTTCCACCAGAAGAGAACTGACATTTTTTTCAAGTTT